GTTATATGTGACATAGTTTGCTTTTTCTGCACTGGGCGAACAGATCCATAGAGCTTTTTCCGTGTGGATAAAACAATTGCCATAACGTAAAAAGATGCAATAGTTAAAAACAAGTTCCGTCTGCCTATCGGTATAATGTTCTCTTTTCTGTACTTGCCTCTGCTGATATGACATCACCTGAGGATTGAGACTCCTATTCTCTGAGGGTGTCGTTCTTTCTCCATTTAGTTATAATTCTGCCTTCCCACATATCTAAACCTTGCCTTACCTTTTATGTACGCCCCACCCAACACTAGTACGTATAAGCAAAAAGGCCCTAAAACTCATTTTGCTGAGTTGTCCTTGGAAAACCGCACTTGAAGTTAAGTCTTACAGTATTTACATATTCGTAACAAGTAGTAAATGTTCTTTAAAGCAAACTCTCACTGGCCTTTGTAGCTACAGGCACTATGGATGAATTTATCCTCAGAATTCACTGCAGCAGCATTTACAAGTCATTCTCTCAGCAGATCATCTCATCCTGCTCCCCTTTTTCAGAGCTTCTGCTGGGAGCTAAGCTGCTGAGAGAAAGTACTGTGCTGTAAATTTGATGATAAATTACGTCTCGGTGCCTAGGCTAAAGGGGTCTGTGAGGGCTTGTCTTTAAAGGAGAATTATGAGGTGAGTGCTTTTCACTCACCTCATAGTTCTACCCGACCTGTGACAATGAGACTGTCACAGGTCGGCTCAGTAGATCGGGAGGTGAGCGAACACATATCGGTGTTTGCTCCCCTCTCGATCCTGTCACGGCTCTCTGCCATGACAGGGGAGGGGCTGGATTCCCCCCTCCCTGCTCCGATCCACCAGCGCTGACTGGCGGAACGGACAGGGGAGGGGGCGGGTACAGCTGGCTCTGCCTCTAGATAGGCAGAGCCAGCTGTCACTCACGCAGCTGGGCGGATCCCGGCTTCAGCAGTGGCGTCTCAGTATACCGCGAGCTACAGCTCGCGGTATACTGAGCCTGGGGTCACGGGAGGAGGCTAGTTTGTGTCCTCCCGTTACTCTAAGGAGAACTATGGGGAAAAGCCTTAACCCCATAGTTCTCCTTTAAGCTCATTAACTGCACACTAAAATAGTATATCTAAAGGTAACATTTTGTTTTAGGTAGAGTAAGAAAAGTTAAAACCATGTCAGGATTTTTTACCATCTTTATCCCATTGGGGATATTTTCCTTCACATCCTGTGCTGTAGACACAACAAGGAAGGAGAAGAAATCTCTTACATTAGTAGATTTCCCCTTTAAAGCTCAAAACTTTGGTTTTTTCTTCACTTGATCCAATGACAATAGAAGAGATGAATCTCAAAGTTTTGGCTTCAGATGCACTTTAAGAATATATAAATATTAAATGTTAATAGCCTGAACACCATTACACTTTAAGGTAAACCTGTACCATTCAGGGCAAATTATTATTGTTCAGGAATTATATAGCGTCAACAGTTTGCTCAGCGCTTTACAATATAAGGAAGACATTACAGTTACTATACAATTCAAAACAAGCTGGTTAGGAGAGCTTACAGTCTAAAAATGAACATGTTAGCTGGACAGTAGGTGTGATTTATATAATTTCCACTTGCTCTCTCACGTTACTCCTACATTTCAGGGGTGGGTGTCTGAGCAGCCAATCATCAGGCCTCAGTGCTATGACATGGGGGCTGATGCCAGGGTCCTTAACTTTGGATAAGATCCAACCCAATATATGGTCAAAATTTGCACAATGACTTTGGAGGGGGACTCCAGTAGTTACACAGTAATCTGGCTTCATAAGACTGCAGCGGGGGGATCGGTTGGCGGCAGGGGCAGACTACAGCACTGAATCACTAGTCTCCAAACCCAGAAGGATGGCAAACTCAGTTAAGTTAACATATGTTTTGAGGCTTTTTTTTTTGTAACACATTGATAAATGATGGGAGTGGGGGAAGATGGGGTGGTTAAAATATTTGCCTAGAGATCAGATTTAAATTCACCATCTTAAGAACATTGTATGCTGATAACTGTGGAGCTAATACATGTATTGACAGTATTCAGTATTCTTTCCATTGCACTGTAATATTGTTACAGTGGTTTCCATTTATCGCCATGGTTTAAAAATTCTTTTAAAAAAAAGTTAGAGCAAAAGGCCCCCCTAATGTTCCTCTTCTGTTGGACAGCTTGGCTTGCATAAGATGCATATTGTGCATAATAATACAAATAAATACATGAAAAATAAAAAAGGAATTCATATATGAATACTTTTATCACATGTACTAACCACATACAGTTATCAGACTATATTATTTTTTTGGCAATACTGACAATGAGATGAAAGGCAATTCTGTCTATGCCCAACCTATGTCTGTAACTGACCAGCTCGGTCATTTAGGGCTGTGCAGCCATGCCACAGCAATGACTAATCACCAAAACAAGCCACAATACATTTTTATTTAGACACAAATGTAATGAAAATCAGGACATTATCCTGTTCTGCACACAGCCAAGAGCTGACATCATATCCACATGTCAGAATGGATTTCTACCACTTCGGCCTGCAGAGAGACATCTTTGTAAATGGCTAAAATATTAGCCTTTCCAAGTGAACATTTCACGTTTTAATTGAAAGCAGATAGAGTTCAACTGGAAAGGCTATGTTGTAACAAAAGTGCAATGTCTGGAATAGGAGTGAGAACTTACAAGTTGACTGGCAGCTATTGAAGCCCTAGTTCAAAGAAATATATTCTCTTCTATTTTTCATTAGTTCAAATATTATTTCTGCCTTAAAAGCTTAATAACACCATGATTTATGGCAGTTTTGATGAATTGAGGCTATGATAGCATGACGTTTCAAATACATTTTTTTTTCCTAAATTGGTAGTTTTTCTTTTTTCTTTTTTTGTAAGAGCAGTAAAGCAGCTAAAATGTCCATTTTGTATTTATTTAGGGTGTAGGGTGTCCTTGGCATTGGTAAAATAAATATATGTGGTTATTACTAAAATTAGTCCTTGGGCTACAATTACTATAATGTGATGTGACTCTCTTTATGTACTGCGTTTCTCACAATGCACTGTTGTTTTAGCATGTTCAAGTTATGCTTTAAAGCAAAACTGCAAGCAAACAAGTAAATACAAGGTTGAAGTACTGTTATACTTGCCAAAGTGTTTTTAATTCTGTCTTGTGATTTACACATTTTTCATATTGTACAGCCAAACAGTTGACCTGTGTAGTTACTGAGTTTTGACCACTTGACCCCAGATCCATTGCGATCTGTTTTTCAATGGATGTCAATAGGTGCCAACGGAAGGCAGGCCAAAAAATTATTGGGTGTGCATCGAACCAGTTCACACCACTCTGTTTCATTGCACTGAAAAGTAGAACATGCACTGCTTTTTTCAGCGTAACATAATGCAACACAGCAGTGTGAACTAGCCCCAGTCACACCCATTCATTTTTCGGTGCCCCTGCGTTAGCATCTATTGAAAAACAGTGGATTGGAAGGCAATCAAAAGGTACAATCGCAAGTCAACTGACCCTCCTTTGAATTACGATTATCTTCCGATTTTGGTGAGAATGGGTCCTAAATAATTTATTTTCCTGGTCCTGCAATTCAGCTTACTGTATCACCTATGCGCCTCTAATCTCCCCATTGGATAGTGAATCAGCATCATCTCTGTCCAGTGAGCTGTAAGCTGATCAGGTAAGGCAGTTAAGCTGACCTAGGCAGCAGAAGGACTAGCAGAGGTGTATATATCACATGCAAGACTAGCAAAATGACCAGTTGTGCCTTTAAAGTGGAACTCCAGACTTTAAAAGTAGAACTCCAAATAAAGCTTCTTTGTTTTGGAAAGAATGAGGAAGAGGGGTTGTGAAAGTATTCGCCCCCTTAATGTTGTACTGCTTTACAACTTGGAATTGTTTTTTGGTGGTTGTACCATGTGATGTACACAACATGTCTACCTTTTTTTAGGTGCAAAACAATTTTCGTTGTGACACAAACAACAATTATGACAAAAACACAGAAATATTTATTGTGCATAAATATCCCCCCCCCCCCTCCTGGAGCTCCTCCCACTGGACCAGCGCTGCCACTGACTCGTCCCTGCTCTCTCCGGCACAGTCACACAGTGAGTGAGGGCAGATTTGGGGGGGGGGGGGGGGGGTTTATTTTTCTGCAAGGCACTGTATAATGTTTGTGCTGACCATTTTGGAGAGTTTATTTGCTTGCTGTCCAAGTTGCGCAGCACAAAGTGAGAGTAAATTTCCAGAAGAAATCACACATTCCAGCATTGCCACTGGAACAAGTATCTCCATTGAGAGGTATCCCCTCCCTACCTCTTCTGGCGACCACTCATACTGCTAGGATTTTCCCTCACTTTCTGTCTTCTGGACAGCAAGTCAGAAAAAAATTTCCCAGCATTGGTATAGAACTCAATTATATGAGCTTAACAGAGGTTTAAGGGCCCATTCACACTATGTCCGGATTATCTCCAGACCAGATTGTTTCCTGACCCAAAATGCATCCCAATGTATCTCTCTGCTATTTCTGGCCTCTGTTCCCATCAGTGCACTCCGTTCCAGGCCAGACCAGAAAAATACTGCTTGTCCTATTTTGTCTGGTCTGGAATGCATTAAAAACGAATGGAACGCACCTGTAAGACCATTTTAAGCTAAAAAAAAACAAAAACGTTCCAAACGCTGCAAAATCATGGCAAAAATGCAATGCACGATGTTCCAGACCTGGTCCAGATCTGGTCCGGAAAATGGTGTGAACCAAGCCTTAAACCTGTGACACTATCCAAAACATAAAAATGTACTTATATTCTCTTCACCTGAGAGTGTTCAATACACAAATAGCCACTTTAGCTCCAAGTTCTGCAATCTCCCACCCTACATACCACAGTGTGATGCCAAGCACTTTTAAGCTTCAGAACAAAAATCTATATTTTGGAGATTAAGTCGATATAGGACAAAGCAGTGATACATAACATACCTCACATATTGGCTTTTCATAAATGTCTTCTTGCCATTGTGTAGCATTATATTGGATAGCATCTCTCTGAAGTGCCTCTAAAACCCGTTTTGGAGTCACAAATCCGTATTGGGCTTCCAGTAATGCCAGATCAATTTTCTCAGCCTTTAGCACAGATATGACTTCATCTCTCGCCTGAAGTGAAGACAAAAAATTATTATTGTACTTCAGTTTCTATATCCGTGTTCTATTGTTGGTTTTGTGCCCTCCTAAAGTGGGCCTAAAACCTTGAGCTCTGTTTGGCTGCCGGTTAGGGGACATATCTGCCTTCTTAATTCAGGAACTATACTTAGTCAGAGTCTCTAAATCAACTTCAGTTTCTAATCAGTCAATCAATGGTTCTACCTGAATTCAGTTTCTAGGAAAAGGACTTGTCCATGCTCTAATTCAAGTATTGTGTTCAAAACCACTTCTACTGGATGATGCAGGCAAACATGTTATAGTATATGTGAACACACTACGTTAAAAACACATAGTAATATAGGCAATGCTATTTGTGCACCAAAATTATGTTTAAGTTTTCTTTAAGTATAAACATTGTGAACCTTTTTCTGTAGCTTTAATTGGTGGTCACATGAGAACACAGCCTTCTTCCACATGGGTGTGGGGTGGGGGGCGGCTGGTTACTAAGTGGGTGGGCAATTTATGTCATCAGAGATAGCAAGGAAGTACATCTCCCATCTGTTTACACTGCATTCCAGAAGATTTTTTTAGTTTTGACAGTGAAGCTTCTGCTGGGAGCTGCCGTCAGTCACCACTGGCAGAGCTAAGGGGGGTGTTGGCACAAAGCTGCATACAGTAGATAGAGGCATGCCGTGTGCTGTGCGATGTTCTGTATCTGCCAGCAGCCATCCCAGGGACACAAACTGACCATGCTAACATGGATCTGTGCTTGGCATTGTCAAATGGAAAAAAGTACCAAGGGCCACTGGCAGGATCACCAGGGATTAAGCACCAACAAATTAAATGTAAAAAAAATGACAGACTACATTTAGTAAGACCTATATGAATTGCACGACACATATTAAACCTTTTTTGTTGGTAAAATACAATTTAATGTAGCTAAATATGTAAACAGTTCTGTGTGTATAGTTATTCCCACTGGAGATTTTGGAGCAGCAGAAAAGCTGCACATGCAACCACCACCACCACCACCAACCACCAACCGCCACCACATTTAATTTAGATAGGGATTAGTTTCTAGCAAAACTACTACGGTATTTGCTTTGTAACTGTGCCTATCAGCTCTCTTTTCTCCAGCTTTATCACATAAAGATTTGATGCACTTTCGCAAGGTTGCTGACCCCCATCTGTCTGATGCCCTGACCTGCACTTAGGTACTGTCACTAACTGGCTAGCCTAAAGCTGGCTCAGTGTAGCGCTTTGGAGCCTAAACAAAAAGCGTTTCTAACAGTTAAAGTTTGCTTTATTATTCTCTGTGTTCTATTTGCTTTTCTGAATTTACCCTGGACTGTGTTTTGATTTTCTTGCCTACTGCCCGGTACTGCCTACCTTTTCCTGGTTCTTTGATAATATCTGTTTGCCTCCTGCATACCTCCCTGAATGTGCTTGACTGTCCATCATTTAAAAATAATTTTGGGCCCCCTGGATGATCCCTTTTGCCCCGCCAAAATGAGGAAAAGCACTGCTGCTGGACTGCAGGCACAGGGAGTGTGTTCTGCCTTTTTTTTTTTTAACGAATGAGTGAATAATGTCACGCTGGTCATCGGAGTTTAAAAAATCCAGGCTGCTATTTGGAACTGTGCAGTGCCAGGTTTGGTTAGGGGAAGCAGCAGCCTGAGGAGCAACAGACTGCAGACAGGGCAGGATTAAAAGCATCACGGGCCTGGTGCTATGGATTTTGGTGGGCCTTTATATGGAAATGGCGACGATCATTGGGGCCCTCTTCCTCCTGTCTGGGCTGGGATTTGTAGTCTCTCTACAGCTTGGAGTCAGTGGTGGGCCACCCGGGCCCGGTTGCAGCTGTGACCCTGGTAAATCTGCCACTGACTCTAAGCTGTAAAGAAACTAGAAATCACAGCAATACATTATATAGCAATTCAGAATACCACCAACTATAGAGGACTACAAATCCCAGCAATAAATTCTACAGCAATGCAGAATATTACCAATAACTATAGAGGACTACAAATCTCAGTAATGCATTACAGAGCTCAGTGTCTATTAAGCCGCACCCAATATTCCACATAATATAGCCACCTCCACTTTTCACAGTGACATGCGTGCCACAGGTCTTCTCCACACTACGCTGCCACTCTTTCTAAAGTTCCAAAGTTAGGTCATATGCTTCTGTCTAGACCTGAGCCAACTGCATCTCCTGCTTATGATTTTGATCTTTGTCCGGTCTGCTGTCCATATTTTTTATTTGAAATGTGCTTAGCAAGTTGCAGGTTTTTTCTGACTTGTTTATGATTGTACTTAAAGTGAACCAATGATTAGGCTATGAACCTTCAAATATTTATATATTCTGAAGCACTGCAGTAAATTAACTTTAAAGCAAGCCCTCTGTAGTTGCAGGCATTGTGGAGAAATCAATCCTGAACATTCAGACAAGGACCACTGAAATCGATTTCTAGTCTGTTTCTAAACCCGTACTGTGTCACTGATGGCAGAGGGGAGCAGAACTGCTCTGAAAATGCCTGTGACGTCATTGCTTATTGCTGTGAACTTTGAGGATGAATTGTATTGAATTAGGTGTTAGAGTTTGCTGCATATACACTATATTGTCAAAAGTAATGGGACACCCCTCCAAATCATTGGATTCAGGTGTTGTGAAATTTCCTTGCTACTAAATATTCCACAGTAAACTGTTAGTGGTATTATAACAAAGTTGAAGCAACTGAGAGCAGCAGCAACTCAACTGTGGATCGGTAGGCCACGAAAAAATACAGAGCTGGATCAGCGCATGCTGAAGCACATAGTGCGCAGAAGTCACCAACTGTCTGCAGAGTCAATAGCTACAGACCTCCAAACTTCGTGTGGCCTTCAGATTGGCACAACAACAGTGCATAGAGAGCTTCATGGGTTTCCATGGCTGCGCAGCTGCATCCAAGCCTTACATCACCAAGCGCAATGCAAAGCGTCAGATGCAGTGGTGTAAAGCACGCTGCCACTGGACTCTATGGTGAACGGTACTTGCCTGACTGCATTGTGCCAAGTGTAAAGTTTGGAGTAGGGGGGATTATGGTGTGGGGTTGTTTTTCAGGGGTTGGGCTTGGCCCCTTAGTTCCAGTGAAGGGAACTCTTAAGTCATCAGCATACCAAGACATTTTGGACAATTTCACACTCCCAACTTTGTGGGAACAGTTTTGGGATGGCCCCTTCCTGTTCCAACATGACTGTACACCAGTGCACAAAGCCAGGTCCATAAAGACATGGATGAGCTATTTTGGGGTACAGAGTGCTGACTTCAACCCAATAGAACACCTTTGGGATGAATTAGAGCAGAGACTGCGAGCCAGGACTTCTCGTCCAACATCAGTACATGAGTAAATGTGCTTCTGGAAGAATGGTCAAACATTCCCATAGACAAACTCTTAAACCTTGTGGACAGCCTTCCCAGAAGAGTTGAAGCTGTTATAGCTGCAAAGGGTGGGTCAACTCAATATTGAACCCTACGGACTAAGACTGGGATGCCATTAAAGTTCATGTGCATGTAAAGGCAGGCGCCCCAATACTTTTGGCAATATAGTGTATATCTGAATATGTAAATAGGTCAATGCCCCTACCCTGATCACTGGTGTACAACTTTCCTGCATGCATTGCTATTCTCCTTGTAGTAAAACATATGTACTTTTCTAGTCTATGCATGACTGGCAGGTACAATCCGGACAGTCCAAGTAGCCATTTTGTACATATCTCCACATGTGCTAACAGATTACACATGGCAGCCGGCAACATTTGAAAAAGTGGATGGAGCCAGAGTGACGTCAAAGTAAATAATACTAAATAAGGAGAAAGAAAGGTAATTTAATATAATTGTTAAAAAAACATATAGCAAATGTGTTTTAGGCAGAACATGAAACTATGTGACCTTTTGTGGAAATGTAGATTTTCCCAGTAACTCACTAGATACATGTGTGCTAAACAGAATATAAAGAGGGGGTATATATATATCTGGCAGCTGATGAAAGAAATTCAATGTGAAATGACTTGCCATACTGTGCAGCAAAACAAATCTGCACATCACTTCCCACAGGGCAGACTGACATTCAAACTGAACCTAATATTGTCCTCCTTGTCTGTGATAGAGTGAGGATATGCATACCATTAGCATGTAATAATGACAGGGCTTTCACATGTGATTTATAATAACAGCCTATGCTGGCAAGACAGACCCATATGTATAATCCAAATACATGGTCTGCTTATTGCGTGAAGCATGAAATACAACTGACTTGCAGCTCTCCCTCCAGCACGCTAAGTAGGAACAGAAGGTCATCCCGAGAAAGGTCATCTGCTTTTCTGTTAGAGGTCTTTTGTTTCTGATCCGATTTTTGGCTTCTTAAGATAGTGCCAGTTTCAGCAACATAGTCTCTGTGTTTCTTCCCCCTGTTCCGCTTAATGGTGTCTGACTCCTCATGGCTTCCTGTGCCAATGCACTGGTAGATGTCTGCTTGTTTGCAGGTCATCCTCTTGGCTGGACACTCAGTACTTATAGTTTCAGAACGCATTTTTTGGAATGCTGCCAAAACACAACAAAGGTATAAATGAGTCTCACGAATATAATAAAATCACGTTTTTATTGCATGAATTAATAAACCACATGTGCAACACCTCCCCTACATAGAATCGGAGCCCTCAATACACAAACTTAGCAAATGTAAACCTGTAAGGCCAGGCTATGGACATTTAAGTATTATATATTCTTAACAAGTAGTAAATAAGCTCTAAAACATTTCTTCCCTGACCTCTTTAGCTAAAGGCACCATGGGGCAATTCATCCTCAAATTGTACATCAGTAGCACTGAAATCAGCAGCTTTTCTCCCCCTGGTCCCAGCTTCCAGAGCTTCTGTCCTGTGCTTACACATATAAATCAGAACGCCAGAAGGCTGCTACTGTATATCATCTTTGATGTCTTTAGTACTTTTGCTGTGAAATTTAAGGTTGAATTACTCTATATTTAAGCAAACTCTCTCTCTTATGTGGCAGACAGTGTTCCTGTAAATATATGACTACTGTACAAGCCTGGACAAACGACTACACGTTACCTGCCCATGAACCTCACTGTCTGAACTATATAACATTAGAATAGGGATGCACAGATACTTTTTGAGTACCAGTGCAGATACTTGGCATTTTCATTTTCATGCAGTGGTTGCAGCTGGGACCTGGCTCTGGCGCTCCACCACTGTCCTGAAATCATTAGTCTGTATTGTTTAAGAAAAACTGTCACATGACAATAAACAAAAATGATTCAGTACTCGTACTTGTAAGTACTCGGCAAGTGCCAGTACTCGTACTCGCAAAACTGGTATCTGTGCATCCCTTTATTTATATTTATAAAAACAAAATCGTATATTAAAACAGAGATGTACAAGTCCCAGGAGCTCCGTGTGCTCCTTACAAATGACAGCTGCCTCCTAATTTTTGAAATTTACTCTAGTGTAGTCTTGGAGCTCAAAAGTATCGGTACACGTACTCGTACTTGTATTGAGTACTGTACTTGGTATCTGTGCAACCCTACATTAGAATCTTCATGAGGCCCCTTTCACACGTGCATGGTTTCCCTGCTGACCCAACTGGAGAACTGATACCACTGTTATGACATCTTGCGATGGAGGAAGAAAATGAACTTACTGGACCCATGTTAGGTCTATGGGGAGTCCGATTTAAATGGACACATGTCTGTTTACATCAGATTACCTCTGATCTGTCATGACCAGGTCTGCCAAAACTGAACCCTATTACGTTTGGATTTCAGGACCTGGATGAAGTCGGGTTATTATAATCGGATGTAAATGGGCACACATCCGTTTAGATCCGGCTGCCCATAGAATACATAGACTAACATTGGGCTACTGATCAGATCCGCCTGAGAAACTAACATTCAGAGCCAATCAGACTGCCTATCTGGAAGAGGCCTTAGGACATTGCTCTCAAGGAGAGCGATCTTGTATAGAGATTTTCCATTTGCCATTTTGTTGTTTCAATTTTGCAATTGTTTCATTATTGTTAAAAAAGATATGCTGAAAGAAATACGATGGCTGCCATAACTGACTTTCTTCTGAAAGTGAAAATTGCTTAGCAGTCATGGCTGGATCATTTCAGCACTTTTTGAGTCATTGACCTTGGACCATGTATGCAGCCAGCAAATTTGAAGCAAAGTACGAATTAATTTGCTCAGTGACCTAGGAGGTAGTAACAATTAGCATGATCTCAGCACTGATTTGCCTTAGATTTTTGCAGTTGAGATCTCTGGTCTGCATATATGCCTTTGTACTTTTGAGGGCTTATCTCTCTCTCTGATTTTTTTATTCGTTTCTTTTTTTCTTTTAAGTTTTAAAGGGTCAAAAAGGATAAGTGAAACACCCAAAGGGTGCGCAAAATGCTAGACTACCGAGGTGAGGAGGAACTATGATGCGAATCGTGCTACTGAAATGCTTAAAGAGACCCATAAACCTTGCCTGTGTACCCTTGCCCAGGCACCCTAACCCCCCTCCCCTATGCTCACTTTACCAGCACTCCCTTGCTACTCCTTCCTCCTCTGCAGCCAGCACTGAAATCATTGTGGTTGGCAACCCGGGGGAGTGGTGATATCACTTCCCCAGTCATGTGAGGATGCTTGGGGATGGGCTTCCTGACCCGAGCTCTTTCACATGAGAGATCACATGCTACGCCATACCTGGAAGTGCAGGGTTTTGTAGCCAGCTGTGGAGGAGAAAGGATTGGTGTGAGCTCACTGGTAAAGTGAGAATAAGAGGGTTGGTAGGGGGCTCTTGGCATAGACACGGTCACTTTGCCCGACATGATCAAAGTGACAGCGTTTCTTAAAGAGGTGTAAAAAGCCAGGAGATGATGTTCCATCAGGCTCCACATGTAAGTTAAATAAAATTGGGCACCGATTTCCCTCTTGACCCCATAAAAAGTCAGTATATTTGTGCTTTGACTAGCAGCTAAATAAAAGGTTAGGACATTTACATGGTGGCAGTGATGTTAAAAGTGTATGTCCTAGCTATTAAAGTTTTTCCAGCCCTGATCTACAATGTGATGCACAAGTCACATGAGTGGGTGGTTAAAACCGATGAAGGTTCTCTTAGCTGGAAATAGCATTTAGGATATTTTAACTAAAAGCATTTATTCTGCATGTAATGTCTAAATAAAAGTACACATATTCATACGAAGAGGCAAAAACAGATTCATGGTGGGTTTGGAGCGTTATCAAAACATGTAGATTGGTGACGGTATAATGAATATCATATTTGAAATGCCTGTTTCTATTTTGGCCACAGTTTATGTGATTATATGAATTCTAAACTCCCTGCGAGATAGATTTTTTTTTTGGTTCTCATAACCTCATCTAAAACAGTGTAATCAAATATATGATGTCATTATAAAAAGCCATCGTTCACCTCACAGGCTCTGCCATTCATTTGCTTTTCTCCACCAAGAGGCGGCTGGAGTCTAACAATAGAGCATTTATAGAAGGATATTTTGTGTATGAATTACCAGCTAACCACAGACCAGCATGTCCTTAAAGTGGTTTGTTAAAGCCGAGATCAAAACAATCCACTCCTGCAAGATGATGTGGAAACGTGTCTTTATAATGAACTCATGTCTGCCCAGTTCACACAAGAAAAGAAAGCGATGACCATGTTGGAGTATTCTATAGGAAGCATGATATTTATTGTGAGCAAAGTATCCTGCAGCCATCTGTCTTTTGTACAGTATATTTCCATATTGTTCTGTTTAAAATCCTTAAAGGGGACTTAAACTGTGCAAGGTGTGCCCAAAAAAGGCAAGTAAAGGGCAAATGACTGACTAGACACCAGTATTGCTTGTGGGCTCCCTGTAGCTGATAATTTCCTCATTACTGACTAAGCATGCCTTGTTCTGCACTATGTTTCTGTGGGGAGGTGGCCATCTTGGTTTCACTAATAAACTTCTGCCAATGTATTTTTTGTTTGTTTTTAATTACAAAATTGCTTTGTCTTTAGACTTTTCATTTTAAAGTGTTTTATTGGCTGGGAGCTCAACAAGAGGAACTGCATTGATACAGGAAATATCAGTTGGGTTTAAAAAAGGACTCAGGGTATACTAATTGGAGATCATGGCCATGAGCTAAGTTGACTAAATTGAGCATCAAGATGGTAAAACCATAAGTCTGGATATTTCAAGCCACCCTCTCATTTATGGCCTATGTAAGATAGATTGTTTAATTCTAGGTCTTTTAGTATGCTGAATAAGTTTGCCAAACTCCTTTTGAAAGCCTATTAGGTTGACATTGGTAATGTTCACCAGACGGCTTTAAATAAAAATGCAGATCGGAGGGAATTACCATCTTCACAGGCATTATCCTTCCAAACCAAGATATGTGGTATCTGGACCACTCCTCCATCAACTTGTGAAAAGAAGAAAATAATATGGGGTAGTTATTTGGATAGAGTGCGTAAAAGTAAGTCATTAATGTTATCCTCAAATATGTTTGTTGATGCCTGGTGAATGGAAACTTTGATTGTAAAAGAGTTTGAATTCGACCACGGATATTATTATCATTGCTTCAGATTTATGTGTGTTGATAAATAGGCCAGACTTCTGAAGTTTGTAATGAAAAAGACTCAGAATATAAACCATATTCGTTTAGACACAGGTTTTATTTTTTATTATGTGCAATAAGTGGCATGGCCCTTTTAACTATGTCAGGGGTGTGGAAATTTTTGAAAAAACTACTTGTCCAAGGACTAAAGCGGGGGCCGAATCTACTTGTCCCTCATCACAATCTACTTGTCCTGATACAAAAAAATTGTTTTAACGAGTGCTTGAATTTCGCTCGCATATTGCAAGCACTCGTTGGTCAACGCGGTCACCTGATGGCACTGACCAATGAGAAGCGCTTCTTAGCACTGCTAAATACGGTTTTGGTTAAAATTATTTTTTTTACATGGAACAGGTACAGATAGTTCACCCGACCTGATGGACGGGAAGGACCGTTCGCCAAAGGTAAGTATAGTGGGAGGGAGATTTGTGCGGGCAATTCCATTTTTCCAAATTACATGGGAAAGTGAATATACCCTTTAGGGTTGGTGCAGACTTGGGGATTCCCGGGAAATGCGATCGTGTGCGGTTGCATTCAGCGGTTGCATCCGCATGTATGGAGTTACATCTGCCTGAAAATCGATGAAAAAAAGGTAGATGTACCTATTTTTACAACATGCACCGCGCAGTGTTTTCAACCGTGATCGTGTGGGATCGCCCGGGTGGTATTGCAGCAGGAAAACGTGCAATCTGACTGGCACGACTGGGGGTGCCATTAGAAAGTAATGGCACTGACAGCACGATCGGCGGTGGTGTGCGATTCCGTGACCACCCAGCCATCCGCTCGGTTCCCCTCCCTCGGCGCTCCATGCCCCCCTGCTTAGCAGCGCTGCTCTCTGCGTTCATCTAAGAAAACAAAACCAGCCCTGCTACTTGTCCGTAGCATGGCTAAAAACAGTGGAAAAAAACACTTGCCCGGCGC